TGTTTATTTTGTTGTATATAATATATTTGAAAAAGCTTGATTTCTTTTGTCTGTACCCTATAATTTTTTTCAAGTTTTTGTCACTTATTTGATTCAGGTTAAAAAGGGTGTGTATTATTTTAGATATATGTCCTTGTGTGACCGTGTAAACAAAATAAACCATGATAAATAAAAACAGTAAAATCCCACACACACCAGTCAAAACATCCTGTATGTCAGGAGGGAGACCTGGCTGACACCCCAAATTAAACCAAATAAATAGCAATAAAATCATAAAAACCCACAACCATCACAACACACAAGTGTCAAACTGTGCACCTGGACTCTTGATGGGTCAGTATGCGTTCAAGGTCACAAGGAGGCGAAAACATTGCTCTGCCTTTGCTTTTGGTGGCGGGGGAGACGATGCTTAGTTAGAAAACAAAAATGTTTTTGACATTTATCCTTAGAAAGGCTTATTTGCATTAATAAATTAGTCTTACTGCTGATTTTAACTTGTGTAATTTTTTTACACTTGTACAATGATGATCTGTTTGTTTCTTTATACACCTTGGTGTCGTCATTAAAACCATTTTGTTGGTACACAGTGAGAATTTTTTTCTCGATCTTTCATATTCCTAAAATGTTGTTTGTGTGTACAAAGTGTTGTGTATTTCATCAAAAACTGACTTTTTTCCTCTTTTTTCCCTCCTTTATCCATCTTTTTTCTCCAAACATCATTCCACACTTACTGCTCTTCCATTCCACCTGCTCTTGACTCTCCCAGGGGTGTACAGCCGTATGATCCCCCCACCACGGTGCTGGTCCAGAGACATGAGCCTCAGGGGTTCTCCACTGTACTCAGCAGCACCGACTTCTTCCAGAGTGAACAGAACCGCAGAGTAATCCTTGAGCAAGTCGACAGCTTCCAACTCAGAGACAAGTACATGTTCGCTACCATCAAACAGGTAAGCAAGAGCACACTGAGAAGAAGTGGGAAAGTTACTTATTGGCACTGTTTTCAGACATACAGTACATGTAACAATGTGAGCTAATACTGATGGTAGTTTTATTAAAGGTTGGGCTGCAACAACGAATCGATAAAATTGATAAAAATTGATTATTAAAAGCGTTGGAAACTAATTTCATTATAGATTCGTTGTGTTGCAGATGCCTCTCCGTGTCGTGGAGCTGATTACGTCACCCACAGAGCGTTGTCACTGCTGGCTGACCTAAATAAAGTTTAGGAAGAAAGAAAAAACTACCTGTAAAGATCTGCCCTCTCTGACTCTGGAGTGAGAAGCAGAGACTCTGAACTTTAAACAGTTTTAAATCGTGTTGTTAGGACAAGTAGGCCTGAAGATATGATAAAAAGTATCTGCTACATTTATTCTTTTTAAAAGCAGCAGCAGGTCTGCAG